TGGGCGGTGGTTGGGTCCATGCTTGTTTGTATCCCTTCAGTGACCAACGATTAGCGAATACTCACAATCCTTTCAATGCCATGACAGGAATATTCGTCGAAATCCAACTCCAACCTACGATAAATATCGTAGGGAAGTGCCTTCTCTCTGAAATTCCACACCCTCGGGAAGGCGTTCCACAGAGGGACGTTGCAATCGCCGCCCAACAATGTATAACCCTTGCGCTAACTCAAGTACTCGCGCTCCAATTTGCACCACGAATGTCCCGAAACAAGCACTTTATGATCTTGTGGTTCGTTTGGGACGACAAGGCATCACCCGTTGTGGTCCAACATTCGCTTTGATGGAGCAAGTTCGATCGTTTGAACCAAATCCCCAACGTACGAGTCTGCGTATTTCATCATTTCACCCACATGACCACCACGTCCAGCAGACAGTCGCTCTTTTCAACCGCCTGCAATATTCCACGTTGTTCACATGGTCCAGTCGGGACAGTTCTGCAGCGAAACGTGGTGGATCAATGTAAATCGTTTTGTACTAACGTTTCAAGGTTTGCGCCTTGGCACGCCGCAAAATGCACTGTTTCGTTGCGACAACCTCGACGTCATTAGTGTGGGGAACAAGTGGATCCGGTTTTACCCGAAACATATACCACAGAGGTTAGTTTCTTTGCGAAGACTCCTCCAAAGGCAGATGTCGTAGAACAATGAGTTACGATAGCAAGCTGCAGCTCGTCCTGACGGCAAGTCCGAGAAATGATTTCCTGAGTCGAGACTGCACGGGCTTCCTAAATGACAATATTCGAGCGCCGTGAAAGTAAGCTGACTAGCTCGTCGAAACCATGCAACACGTGGATATCACAAACCTCAACTCTTCCATCGCTGTGGCCATGAGATATTCGCGCTGGTGGAAGGCAATTGTTTTAACTGTTAGCTGCAGGTGCCTGTGCATGGTCGATTTCCACACGCAAAAGGTGGGCTCTCTCTAGATGTACGTCGCGAATGCGGATTACAATCCCGTCACCATTGCCGGCATGGCCTGGCGAAGAAATCGAATCACCTATCGGCAGTGCGACTGTTCTACCTCGCAGTGATCACAACGGATTCTTCGCCTTGAATTGTGTTCTCAATGAATAAGTGTGCGAGAGCCTTTTGGCGTCTTCGACATAGGATGCAATGCCAATATTACGATTGGTGCCGTTGACTTGCACACACGCTAGAAATAAAGTGGCGAAGCCTTTGTTGTGCACACCTTGACTACAACAAAAAATTCACAGAAAAAAAGTAGGACACTGACAGTAGTCGAACCAGCGACCGAGAGGACGAACACACCCATGTCATGACTTCCACGCCAATTTATGCGAAGAAAAAATTGATACGTGAGGGTTAAATAAGTAAAAATCGAAAATGCCTTGACATTTCGCCCGAAACGCAGTATGGACATTGCAGACCGCCTTGGTGAGGCGGAAGAAGTGGATGCTTCACACCACCGATTAATACACGGTTGAGTCATCACGTCAACACGTTACCTGACAACAAGGAGCACTCAACATGAGCCACAAACTCTAGTAATGACCAACATCATCCGGCTGGCATAGTGACTAAACTCCGCCATGACGAGCAGAGAGGTGTGAAAACATGGAGAGATCGACAGAGGGCCGTAGGATTCCTTTCACTTCACACAGCAGCGCGAACCCACAACGACAAAGGGCGAAATCAAAAGCCCCTGCATCATACTAGCTTCCAAGCCATCGCGGGAAGCAGAGTGCAGCTAGGGACAGTGCTAGAGGAAGTTCATGGGACTGCGAGCGGTGCTTGGAACTCGTTCGTCGAGTTCAAAGCTGACGGGTGCTGTAGTTGACATGCATGAGGGTCACGACATTTTCCCAATTCAATGTTGTTCGCCTTGGCCATCAGCATATACAAACAAGCACGACCGTTCGGTTGTTCAAACACGAGCCTTCTCAAAGTTCCTCGAGGTCTCGTACACCCTTCCTCTCTAGGTTTCCGTGGAACGATCTGTTACTCCGTAGGTAGGTCGGGCACGCGATATGGTGGTGGAAGAAACCAGGGGTGAAGGGTGCCAGGGTCAGGAAAAGGTCCACACAATCCATGCTTGAGTTCTTGCATCTCCAGTAAAGGACGTTGGCGATGACATACGCAAAGTACAGGAACGACAATTTTAAAAGATAATTGCACGTAGTGAAGCTATGCAGGCTGTATACGGAATTGACTTTTGGGGCGTCGTGGGCAAACGAGGAGGCAGACTTGCGCTTCAATTCCAGGTCCCCGCGGCCGAGGCCCAAGGCAGTCGAAACGCAAATCGACGAGTGCAAAACCAATGGACTGGAACGTTGGTTTCAAATGAAGATGACGCTGAATCGATCTTTATGGTGCCAGGGTGTGGTAGTGTTCACACTTTCGAGTGCCGCCGCCACTGTGTCTGAATGGACATTGGAATCGTGGCGCTGTTGCAACGTGTGACCCTCGAGCTTGTCGTTGAATCGAACGCGCCTGAAGTTCCCAGAGACCTAGATCACTTGGTCACCACGTATTGAGCAGGGCAGAGAGGATTGCGTGCAACACCTCGGCTCCAAGTTCCCATCATCCATTATCGTGTCCATCATGGCATTATTTGAGCATGGGCCAAACGGACTCAAATTATAGGATGAAGCGATGCTGCTCCTATTTCGGGAGAACCCTTCATGGAGCTAAGTGGATCGCCGGAGACAAAATACTGTCGTGCTGGTGAGCACGCAGGATTCTGCAAAACAGCCTTGGTTGGATACACCTTCGCAAGTGTCTGCTCGTTGTGCCAAACTCTGGCGAGTTTATCTCCAAGTGGATACAATAGGGGGATGCAGAACTGCTTTTGAAGTAGTCCAAGCTTCCACAAGAACACACATCAACCAGTTCATGCGCCACAATTTCCGTGAAGCGGACAGCATGACTAAGAAGCCGGGTCAATGGATCCATCAAACATCATAATGTGCGTTTTGACGTGCTCCTCCATCATGTAACATCTTATATTGTATAAAGGAAGTTTCGTCAGGATGTCGGTGTCGTCTAGTGGTTAGGACGCAAGCTTCACACGCTTGAGATCGGGGGTTCGATCCCCCCCATCGATACAATTTACTTTTAAAGTTCTCTTGACATCCATGGTGGTCTTTCGCCGTGGATGTTCGGCGCGACGGCTATACGCCGCTAACTTCACACATTTCCTACTCGAATGCATCTGGAGAGTGAGCTAGAGCAACGGAGTTGTTTCGATATCAAGTTGAAAAGATGTTGTCGACCACGACGCAGAATGCCCTTCCAATCCTTTCTTAGTAGAATTCAGTGCATGATCGGTGACTTGGGTGTGGATTTACTTGAGGAGGTTTGTTAAATATGATTTTACAGTCGATTGAGGCCTGCCGTGATCGTCAATGGCCCTTCCACGGATAATGGCATCGGGACGAGTCTCCGTGCCTTGTATCCACAAACGGTACGTCACTGTCCGCGAAAACAGTGTCTTCCGGAATCGAGTTCAGCGACAAGCCACGGGTCTTGTGAGGATAATGGCGAGAGTACTGGCGGTGGGATGGCAAGGACAGAGTCATAGCCGGCGGCATACCAACCACGTCGAGGACACATTGCGGCAACATCGAAGTCGTCCACGTCAAATACCATCGCATCCACGACTCGTCCGCACAGTGGGAATTGTCTGTTGCGACAATCGCTGCTTTGACTTCAGAATCAAACGGTGACGCGATGACTCGAATTACCCTCCAGCACAAGTACAAGATCATGAGAGCACCACAAAGACACAGCATAAAGTGCACACGGGGGTATTGGTTTGCTGTGGCGTACGCATGGACGGATTCGCGATCTCGCAGCGAGTACTTGCCGCGTGCGGCAGCGTCGTCTGTCATAAAGAGGTCCATCGCCTCTTAGGCCGTTGTGTGAATGAAGAAGGACTGCGTGTCCTCAATATTCTCATGGATCCGATTGGTCCAATCTCGTGCGAAGTGAACAATGCAATTCTATTTCGTCGACTGAATTTTATACGGTTGTCTTCACGCTTGTATGGAGGTTCAAAACATTTTCGTGGGCGGCATCCCCGCACGATATTTTAAACTGCGGCGTTGGCCGATTGGGTTCAGCACTATACAAATTCCAAGGTCCATACCGGCCTCGGGTGCACCCAAATGTTGGCCAATCCAAATCCAGATATCGGCAAGGTTGAACATGATTGGTCGATTTCCATGGCCGCCCCTGTCACATTCATGTCGACGCGCCCTGGCTACGAAAATGGAACTTGTCCATCCGACTTGTCCATCAGACTGCAGGACGGGCGATGCGCGAGACAAAGGACGGGAGGGGAAGTCACACGCCTCCGTCATCGGCTGACCTACGATCGAGGAGCACCCCGCAGGCGTATTCTGGATACTTCCATGCTGGGCCCTCACCTCGGTCGTATTCAGGTGAGATGTGCTGCTATCGTCGCCACGTGCAGGTTATATCCAATTCAACAGGTGATATTTTACGACCAGGCGACATCGAAGAAATGTCAATTTTTGAGCTAGATTGATACTAATGTTCACACGATTGAAGGACCAACGAAAATGATTTCGTGGACTTGTCCGTCGCATGAAACTTCAAGCACGCACACCAACAAGGCAATTATATACATTCAATGCCTTGAATGGATCGAAATATCCATGATCTGACACAATAAGTTTGTCGCTGGAGGTACCAATTGTGGTCTCTTTATATCGGTTCGGTTGGGCTTGAACAACGATGATGACGTGGTCTAGACACCGCCATTGCTTTGGTTGCAAGCAATACGACCTCTTTCGATGTCATTACAGCAAGCCCACGTTGGACGCTGTAGATATTCTGCCAAAGTGTCTGTGAGCTCTACATTGTCGAACTCAATCGTTGAGGGCATGAGTTTTTTTCATTCAATGGAACAGCAGACGCCAAAAAACAGTACAACTTGATTGCAAAGACTGAAATCTCATGATCAAACGAAGTACTTGTATTCAAGAAGTATACCATCGAATAGGATATTTAAGTTTGTTGAAGCCAAATATCGTCGCCACGTCTGAAAGGATATTTCCGTCAAGAACGATTTAAATATAGGACATGGTAGCGCATTAAAGCATAACGTTAGTTCGATGCTGCGTGCTGCAAAGATGTCGCGATGGGCGACACGTCGTGCTCAACGAAATGGATGCAATATCTGTATGCATTATGTTTGGTTGTAGTCGCACCACGGCCAAAAACCGTCCGCCTGCTACTTAATCCGACAACGACTGAAACGCAGCTTCGATTTCTTCGTCCAACCCGGCAAAAAACTTTCGCAACTGGTCTTCCGGCTGCTTGGGCAACTGAAACTTGGACTGGATGATCTTTTGGATCACCGGGTTCAGCGACACCTTGATTTGCGCCCACGTGACACGGGCATCGGGCGGCGAGTCGGCAATCACCTAAACAACGCAACCATTTATCAGTAGATGTTTCTTGCAACAAAAATATCCGCACAATTGGAGACGAAAGCACACAACAAAGTCGTCGACGAATGCGATAGCAGAAATGGAAACAACCGAAAGAAAAATCCAGTCGAATCCACGAATTTAGACTTCACCTTTTGAGACAGGTTGTGGAGCAAAATGATCGAGCGGAGCATGCCGACCGACTTGACCAAGGGGCACGTGAAATCGTAGTCCGAGAACGCGTTTTGCTGCAAAAAGTCTTCGCGTATGATCTTGGCAATTTCCATCACGACCTTTTGGTCTTCCGACAGCGACTCTTTCCCGACCAGTTGGACGATTTCTTGCAAGTTGTCTTCCTTTTGAAGGATTTCCTGGCACTTGGTACGCAAGTTGGAGTAGTCGGGGTCCAATTTGTTGAAAAACGGCTCCAACACACGCATGTACTTGGTGTACGAGATCAACCAATTGACACTGGGAAAGTGCTTGCGTTGCGCCAGTTTCTTGTCGAGGCCCCAAAATACTTGCACAATCGAGAGCGTCGCAGCCGTCACGGGGTCCGAAAAATCGCCACCGGGCGGCGACACAGCACCCACCACAGTCACACTTCCCTCGCGCTTGGGGCTACCCAAGCACGAAACGCGACCAGCACGTTCGTAAAAAGCCGCCAAACGCGCACCCAAGTAGGCGGGGTACCCACTGTCAGCAGGCATTTCACCCAAACGACCCGAGATTTCACGAAGAGCTTCGGCCCAGCGCGACGTCGAGTCGGCCATCATACTCACGTTCATGCCTACGACCGATTTGGTCAAATCCAACTAGACCATGCCAATTGTAGGGTACCTTGATCGCGGAAGTACTCGGCCAACGTGATACCGGTGTAGATACTGGCTTCACGGGCTGCCACGGGCATGTTACTCGTGTTCGCGACGAGCGTCGTGCGCTTCATGATGGGCACTTCCTGGCCGTTGATCGTCATCGTCAACTCGGGGAAGTCGCACAACACTTCAGCCATTTCGTTCCCGCGTTCGCCGCACCCGACGTACACGATCGCGTCGGAGTTGGAGTGCTTTGACAAAGCTTGGGAAATGACCGTCTTGCCGCATCCAAACGCCCCGGGCACAGCGCACGTCCCACCCAACACGGACGGGAAGAGCGCGTCAATGATACGTTGTCCAGTTTGCAACGCCACGTTGCCAGCCAACTTTTCCGCAACAGGACGAGGCTTGCGCACAGGCCAAAAGTGCGACAACCCGAGCTTGTGGGTCGTACCGGTCGTATCGTCGCGCACTTCGAGCACCGTGTCCTTGAGCGTAAAGCTTTCGTGGCCATCCGTGCCAGCACCGTACACTTTGACAACGGTACCAAACACGTTCGGGGGACACATGATCTTGTGAGAGTGCAAAATGTCATTTTCATGCACAGTCCCGAAGATATCACCGCCGGAAATGGGGTCACCTTCACGAAAGTTGATGGGAGTGAAGCGCCATTGCTTGGTGTGGTTCAACGACGGCACGTCCACGCCGCGAGGCACGTACACGTCGTTCGAGATCTTCGCAATCGATTCCAACGGGCGTTGGATACCATCAAAGATGTTGTCGACGATACCGGGACCAAGCTCGACGGACAAGGGCTGGCGACGACGTTCGACAGGATCACCCACAGTCAGACCAGCTACCAACACATAATGTCATCAGTCCACTGCCCCACGCGGTTTGCAGCAGGTGACGAGACGCCAAATACGTACAGGTGTCTTCGTACACTTGGATGGAGGCATTGGTGCCTTCAAGCTTGATGATTTCCCCGACCAACTTGTCGTGACCTACGCGCACCAATTCGTACATGGCAGCACCATGCATGTTCTCGGCAATGACCACTACGCAGAGGCATTATGAGTCACTCGCCGTGGAAGAGCCAAATCGACGTACGCGGCCCAGACACCTTGTAGACGTAGCCATAGTCGGATTCCTTCTCTGCATCTCCAAAGACGACCGACATGATGATGGAGTTCCCCTCAAATCGACTTTTGTGGGAACCCCACACGTCAATAATCCGGATAACTGCATACAAACGATTTTAGCTTCATTATCCGGATCTCACCGTTCTCACTTCAATTTAAGTCAGTAATACAGGTCTTTGATTGGTTAATATTTTTCAATAACGACGTTTCATTGGCTGAAAAGTCACAAAGATCGCAACTTCCCCCAGATACACATGGACATGAAGCAGCGTCGACGTGGGGGTGTCGCTGACGAGTCTGTCGCTTACCGTGATGGGCTGCAGCTCGTAGGAGGAAGTGTTGTCTACTACATATTAAGGCGTGGCGCCTCTATCTTTGTCTTCATTGCCACCATCTTCGTTGGCCTCGCTCGACTTGCCGTCTGCGGCTGCTGAGAGGAAAGTGCCACCACCGACCAAGCGACCTCCTTTGCTCAATCGGTCGCACATGATTGTTATGTGCTTCTTGAGCTTCTTTGTGTCTTCGGGCAGCACTAATTCCACTGGGACCCCTACGGAATCTCAGAGCTGACGTTCGTCCAACAACATTGAGACTCACCGACAGTAGCAGCAGCAGGTTCTTTCTTCATAGCGAGACTTGTCTTGAGCAAGTCAGTAATTGCTGCTTCCGTTGACTCCTCCCATGCATCCGCCACCCGAGGACTCAAGTGTGACTGGAGCACGGCAAAGTTGTCGTCGTCCAGGTCAAACTTATACCGCATGAGCATCAGGAGCAAATGCACACTGCATGCCAATCGATTTCCCGACACACTGAGCTTTCTTTGGACTTGGTCCACCTAGCAAGTAGCACCGCACGTGAACCTTCGACATGGTAAAAGCACCGACCGTACTTGTCTGGAGAGGTCTAGAATCTGGGAGTACGTTCCGTGGAGAAGCATATCGAGGCTGTTGAGCGGCGACGGGTTTCGGTCCTTGTACCGCACCAAGAGGCGCTTTTGGATCACGCGGAACTGGTGCGCGCGGTCATTCAGTTCGGCTTGCAACTCTTCCGATTCTTTCCGACACTACACGCCACGACCGACTGCATCAGGTCACCATGTCCAAGCAAGTGGTGGCTGGCTAGGTTCAACTCACGCCAAAATGCTCGTCAATAGCGGCAAAAAAGTCGGCGAGCGGCAGTGGTTCTTGGTATTGGATCTGTAGCGGCGGCGGGAGCGCGGACGGGTCGTCGTCGTCGGTTTGGGTTTGCTGCACGTTCAGGAGCTGCAGGCGGTCGACAAGCTCGTTCGACACGTTACCACCTTGGGAGTTGGCGGCATTGGTGGTACCGCCAAGAACCTTGATGGACACGATTGATTGCTTGCCCGTGCCGGCAGCAACTTCGATGTTGCCCACAGTGCCTGAAACCGAGTCGCCCGTGCTCAAACGAATGGATCCACTGGAGCCGTCTTGGGCATTTCCGGACGAAAACGTCAATGCACCAGATGCGGCCGAGTTGGCGGACCCAATCTTGATATCTCCACTGGCCGCAGTCCCAGATTTGCCGGTTTCCAGCACGATATTTCCCCCGGTCAAGGACGTGCTCGCGCCAGAATTGAGGGTGATGTCCGATGCAGCACCGCCTTGGCTCAACCCCGTTTGGATCTTCACAAATCCAGCTTTGCCTTGCAACGCATCGCCCGTGGTCAGTGTCACGTCGCCAGACTGGGAAAACGTAGAGGCACCGGAGCTAATGCTGACGACACCGCTGTCAGTTTGGGCGACCGCAGTATTGATGCGAACATCTCCACTGTTGCTGGCTTCAGATCGACCAGACGTGAACGCAATGCCCCCTCCGGCTCCAGCCAACGCACTACCGCCTTCAATACGCACATTGCCTCCCCGGCTGGTGGGCTCACATGTCTTGGAACTTCCCCCTCGAATGTCAACGACACCACCGCGGGAAGTAGTGTCGACAGATTCCGCCATGATGTCGCCGCCAGACAATTGGATTCCGCCGGCCGCGCCTCCTTTGGTCGGTCCACCCGTCGCAATCACCGATCCGCTTTGGAGCGCGCCGCTATCTTCACCAATGACAAGCACAATGTCGCCTGCCGCCTTCTTCGAATCGTCCGATGTGGCACCGGTGGCGACATACACGGACCCAGACACTCCCTTTGCAGCAGTGCCGGTACCCAACAATACATTTCCCGACTGAATCGGGGCACTCGACGAAAGCACCGAGATGTCTCCGCTCGTTGTACGAGCCGACTCACCAGAAGTCAACTTGATCGTACCCCCCGTCGCAGACGTCGACGACCCACCCGCTAGCGTAATCTTGGACCCGACAGAACCAATCGCCGACGATTCTCCGGGCTGCATCGCGATTGCGCCAGCAATGCTAGCGTCCCCCGTCGAAATGAAAACGGGACCACTGGAAGACGACGTGCCTGTCTTCAAAACGACAGGGCCACTGTGAAGGGGAGCGGGCCCGGTCGACATTGTTACAGGGCCACTGCTACCAGTCGACGATCCACCCGACGAAATCAAAATTGCCCCGCCGATTAAAGTCGACGAACCACCAATCAACTTGACGTTCCCGCCAGTTGCTTCCTTGGACTCGCCACCGCTAACAGTGACGTCCCCACCGACACCAGATCCACCTTGACGCTCGACGCCGTGTCCGACGCCGGCAGCAAGCAAGACAGACCCACCTCGTCCGCGGTTCAAGCTCGTACCACTGCCAGCTTCAATGTTCACAGAATGGCCGTACACGTTCATCGTCGTCGCATCGCCAGCCTTCAAGTCGATCGACCCGGCCGAGTCCACAGACACGCCAGTCGCATCTACCGACGTGCGGTAGGAATTCTTATCGAGGGGACGCGTGCCTTCCACTGAAAGACTGCCACCCCCAAACACCGGGTCTGCGACCACGGCCAAGTTGCCCACCACTAGAGCACCACACGTCAACTTTTGATCGAAACCGGATCAACATACCTTGGTTGTCGGCCACAAAAGTGGCCGGGCAAGGGGGGTCAAACACCGTTCCACGGCAAGCGGCTGTGTACGTATCCTCGACCGTGAGACACAAGGACTTGGACGCGCACCACGCACACGAGTCGGCAACGGCACAACTGGTGCAGTCCACCAGTAGGTCACAGTGTCGCATTCTGGGGGCATGTTGCCGCATCAGCAAATAGCCAATCCGGGCAAGGCACCGCCACAGAAGGACCCGCCGCCGTGCCTGGCAAACACTGCATCGTCGAGTGGCAGAAACCGCACCCAGACGTCGCCAAACAAGCTCCACACTTGTCGGCTTGGTCCCAGTACGACACCGCCGTGGCCGACGACGCAGGGTTAAACACCCCACACGACCCGAAATCAATCACCACTGCAGGAGCTGCAGCAGGTGCAGGATCAGCGTCGCTCGCGACGCCTACCACACACCACAACACCCCTACACCGACTGCCACCCACATGGTGACAGTCCAACGCAACACGTTGACAAGACCCTTCATCCTTGAAGCACTCGTCACCGAACCACTTGGTATCCGTCGCTTTTCCACTACAAGACGCACCATGTTCCAACATGGCCGAACACAATCGAGAGCTCGGGGACGCACCTGGAAACGCTAGTCACCGCTACCACTTCCTCACAGATATGCGCTGCTTTTTCCCACACGATTCGAGTTCCTCAGAGATGACGGGCACCGCTGAAGATCAATCGAGTCGGAAGAAGGTTGACGCACTCTTGAGGCTATCGGCAGGGAGACTGTCGTCCGTCACGCAAAAGCTCGAGATAGCACGGGCATGGAAGATCGCAACGGAGGAGCCACACAAAATATGGAACCGCTATTTTTCTCCAATCATTTCGTATTCTCGTGCATAAGCACATCGGATTGGTCGATTACCTCCTTATCCGGATCATGTAACGGTTCGGCGTTTCGAAATTTGGTGCTGAGTTGCCGACCACACAAATTCGAACCCGGGTTTGGGTGCACAGCGCACTCCAGGGGATTATTGCGTGTTGGCGGTGCCCACGGCGCTTGCTGTCTACAGACGACGCCTGAGCATACTTTCAATGATGCTTGACGTTCCTGTGTTATTGCTGGACGAATCGAGAACGCGCCAACTTGTCGAGACGAAACGGCAACCTCCAGCTATATCTATGCCCTTCGCTCTGGAACCGTCGCGAGAACAGTGTAGAAACGTCCATCGCAAAAGCGTGTTGTATTACCTTCACTCTCATGCTTCCCGAAAGATCGTGTGAAGCTTCCTCCCCCTTCATCCTCCTCACAATTCGCTTCTCGCACGATGCGCTTCAAAGGACCCGCAAGGAGGGTACACAACATTCTATTTTGTAACCGAGAAACCTCGGACACTGACTTGGCATTCACCACCAACCATGTTGGGTTGAAGGTGTGGCTACCCTTTCAATATTTCACTGTCAGTTCCGAAAAGGAATCACACGATGAAAAAAGGTGTGATGGGGAAGGATGGAGCCACTGACCTCTTGCACAAAAAATAAGAGAGAAGACCACTGCACACGACAGTTTGCGATCTATCTAATTCGATTTTTGAATTAAAGAGGGATACTAACAGTAAATGGACAATTCCTTGTTGTCATGGATGAGAAACTGTATTCGTGGACTGCCACGTCATGGAATCCTCGTAAGGACCGCAGGCAACATGTTGTGTCGTCTTACGAGCATTGAATTACTTGCATGAGGTGGTTTTATATGTACAGTGAATAGAGGTTTCCATGAGC